GCTTCCAAATCCTATCTCCCTACTTGCTTGGACAGCTTGCTTAGTTAGGGTGTTGCTGTGCCAATGCACAAAGCTGGCTGGTTGCCACACCATGTCCAGCCTGTAACTCAAAGTCACAGAAATGTCTCTGCAGGAGTTATCTTGGATCCAACCAGTTGTTCTTAGCCTAAGCTAATAAAATGTGCAAGACTCTGGCCAGCAGTTTGTTCTCAGGTCTCTTTCCATGGTTTCAAGAGTATGGCACAGGAAATACCTGCACTGGACCAACATGTAATGCAGCTGTACCTGTTCAGGATCCGACCTCATCCCCACATGTGACACCAAGCTATCCATTGAATGAGGTCTCCTGAGAACACCTCTCTCCCGCCGCGTCCCATCTTCACAGTGCTCAGTTACTCCTTCCTTGATGTAAACACCTCTGCCCTCACCCTGCCACAAAACATGCTGCTTCCAAGCAGCTTCTCATCAGCAACTCACAAAACTAATTTTGAAACCACGACCCTCATTTTCAGTAATGTGAGCATTCGGCTCCCATCCGCACCGCTTAGAATGAGACCACAAATCTGTTCCTTCTTACACCTGCAGATGGTTGCTTTCTCGCTCTACAGATGGCATCCTCAAATCAAGATAAGTGGCTTTCATGCAGAACTCCAAGACAAAATTTTATATATGCTGAAATGTAGTGTTCCAAGGAAAGGCAGAAGGCTATAGTTGTGGTAAAATTCCTTTATTAAACTAAATTCAGTAAATTCCTTTTGACATTAGAAACTCTAAATGCAAATTACAAAATCGTATTCCCGTAAAAAAAAAAGTTATAGTTAACAGCAAAATTACAACTTTATACAAATAAAAAAATCAATTTTCATTTTAATTTAAAAATAGACATTGATATTCTCCAAGGTACTGGTCCTAACAGCTTTTACAACTGGTAGATACAATACTGTGTTTTTTCACATGCATGTTCACATGCATAGTCATTTAATACTCAGCACTGTTTATTTAGCCAAAATAGCACAAACAGTGAGGTTTTAAGGATGGTTATTTTTAACAAGAATGTAATTGTTATACTTGGGAATTGTGGCAAGTCAAAGAGCTCTTGTATTTCAGTGTTTATGCTATATCCTCTCTTCATTTCTGCAAATACGGCAGTATTATTCTGAAGTGTGAATTGCATTAGAAAGCAAATGCATCAGTAAAGTTTATGTGTAATTATCATAGTACATTTATGATGATTCTTCTTTGCTATTGGCAACAATTACTGAACTGCTCACCATATTCTGCAGCAATTCTGTGGCAAGATGAAATAACAACTTGGTTACATTTCACATCTTCAAGTAAAACTATTCTTTTATGTAGAATATAAGTTCTGTGGAGCATGCAAATAAACCCCCTGACCTTATGCAACGCTGTTCTTAGAAGGGTAGACGGTTCTGTCCAGGCATCTGGACATTGTCTTAATCGGGATTCCCAAGTCACACTGGTTTCCAATGGCCAGAGAAAATGACAAGTGCATTTTGCCTGAGATGTCCTTGAACAGGCCAAGAAAAACACTAAGTGTAAAAGAAACTGAACCACATATTATTATAACAAGACCTAAAAATATTTAAGTATTATTCTTTACCTTAAAAGTATCTTAAAATCTTTTAAAATCACTTTTTGCCTCACTACTTTCATAATGAATAGAAAAATGGTTATACGTAAAAAAATAACACAAATCTCTTTGGAGAATAATCTTTTTCCATTGCACCTGTGGGTTGTTTTTGTTTTTGGGGTTGCTCTTTTTTTCTTTTTTCTATTTTAGGTCTACTGATCAATGCATTAGTTTTAGGGAAAAATGATAATTTTAGTAATTTAAAAATTGGACTAAGGATTAAAATGTATATACATATTGTTTTAAAAAAAAACAGAAAGTCACGTATTAGAGGCTACCAGCCATCACAACCACATGCTGTTGAAGAAAAAAAAAAAAAAGTGATACACAAGAACAGATATCAAGAGTCACATATTATTTCAGAGTGCTGGTGGCAATACTGCTATCTGCTCTTTTCAGTTAATAGTACAAGAAAATATGGAATTTACATGATAACTCAGAATTCTCATTGATTCAACTGCAAAAGACATCAGAAAGGTTGTAAGTTCTAAAATGCGACACACCTTCAAATAACATTTCAAACAATTATATTTGAAACAGTTCATTCCACTATACGTTATAAATAGAGCCAAAAGTAGTATAAAAATTTCAGTGTTTGTTTTTTATTTTTGGACAGTTTGGCAATTAGTTCAAGGCATAGAGATTCTTAGTAATAAAAGCCAACTTGCTCTGTATGACCTAATCTGCTCCATCCTGTAACTAGCTCAGCATAATTTTAAGCACACACTTGAAGGGCTACTGAAGAAAAAGGCTGAGCTCACCACACTTGCTCTGAATGAGAACTGCAGGGCCTAATCCCAAGCTGCTGAAGTTGATGGATGTTCTGACTCTGGTTTCAAGAAAGGCAGGATTGGTTCTGCCTGTATTATGATTTTAAGCCATAATCCTTCATGCACATTCAGCCTGGAATCACACAATTTCTAACTGCTCAATTTAGCAAGGCTTTACTAATAAATCTATAAGCAGGTATTCTGAGCACTTCAGTGAATATCAGCATGTACCCAAAAGGATGATGAAGGGAGAGGAGAGAAAAAAAACTCTTAACTGATCTTAAGCTACATATTCTTCCACTGACTTTGACAGATGGAAGAAAACTCTCACAGTATGGGATGGAGATGACGGTTTTGCCCTTAACACTTCTACATTTATGCGAACAAACGGGGCTAAAGAGAGGAAATAATATGAGGGTGGGAATCTAAAGCTCAATGGGAAAAGCTTCTTCTCCAAAAGTCCTAGTCCCTGTTCCAGAGACTGCTTGTGTAGTTTGCATTCTTTAATCTCCTTAATCCCTTAATCTTGCATTTTTAGCTTCCAGTAACAGTTACAAAAGAAGCTCAGAAAGCGGCATCCTCAAGAACAGCCGTGAGCCCACTGGGTAGGGCATTTTCTGCAGAAGCAAGAGTAAAGTGCAATCATCCTCCCCCTCCTAAGACAGGAGGGGGTAAAAAGCTGCATTTCTCCGGGGGCAAGCATGTCTGCAAGTAGGTTATTACGAACAGGAGGGCAAGGCAACTTCTGCTTGTCTTTTGAACTGCAGCCCTAGCCCTGTGCAGCCCAGGAGAGCAGACAGTCTGAATTGCTGACTTGAGTCTAAATGCCTGAAGGACACCTCAGCCCATTTTAGGCACTGTCACAGAGGATGGAGCATAGGCTTCGTCACACAGGTTACCATGCAGTGGCATAAACACAGCTCTGCTAGCACTGTTCGGGGAGCAGGTCTTTTCATATTTTAAATACTGCTTACCCAGACAGCCTAGAGAGAAAGAAAGAGTGAAGGGACAGAATTTGGATGAAATAAGTATGCACAAAAAGTATAAAAGTTATTACAAAGGTCTATTACTGTAGTAAAAGTCCCTTTGATTAAATATTATTCAAGCTATTCTTCCACTTAAAATCACTTAGAAAGATTATTTTATCTGTTAAAGCACAACAAACTCATTTTTAGTCTACCATACATTCCATTCACTGTTGATATTACAGTAAATAAGGATATTCAGGAAACATCGTGTGTTTCAGTCTGTCAGCAATTTATATGGACATATTTTCAAGAGAAGTTGAGAAGCCCATTTCTTTGCACAGCTTTTCTCACAGAAGTTCCTTGCTTATTACAACCTATCCGCACAAATAGAAGGACTTGCACACACATACGGATTCATACACAAATTCTCTGTGTAGCTCCTGCATAAAATTTACTGGAATTTACTGGAAAATATTTTTTAAAAATTAAAACCACTCCCATTAATCCTTAGCCGATTAATATAATTCTTTATACACAACTCATTATCTGTTCTGAAAAAACAAAACCCTTAAAAATAAAATAGTTTGTAGCAGAGGATTCTTATGCCTTCCAATAAGCAAAGGTATTATTAAAGACATAATGCGTCTAAGCAGTTTTATGAAATAAATGTTCTGACTGCTTGCCAGAAACACTTGCCAAAGTACTGTTTTTTCATATCAATTGCTTCTTCTGAATAGGTGTTTCCAGCTGCTGATGTGACACCATTACCAGGGAATAACTTCTACATTCCCAGATTGTCCGTTTAGTTACTACTGTAGCGTTGGCACTCATTTTGATGTTAAAAAATACATTTAAAGTGTCTTGCCATAGGTGACAGACACCCTATTTACCAACTGTATTGGAAATGGGAATTGTATTGGTACAGGGCAAATACGAAATACAATACACATGGACTAAAACTAACATTAGTAGCAAACACCTGCAAAATGAAAGGTACTTTTTTACTCCATTTGAAAAGGGAACAGAAGAAATCTTTTCATCAAACAGATGATGGAAAAAATGGGGAATTTCCTGCAAAATTATTAGAGTATTAGCTATGCGTAAATAGAGATGAAACTACAGTGTTATATTTTCCCTTTTAATTATTGTTATTTAGCACTAAGCTGTCACTAGATTTCACATATCAGTAGTTGTTTAGTTCCTGCCTCCTGTATGTCTTGTGAAGAGTTAAGCACAAAGCTTCTAATCACAAGATACTTCCTACGAGGTATTATGTTTTAAAAGCATAGAATCTACCACCATTAGGATACATGAGGGTCAAGAGACTGTCATAGGTCATGTGCGCTGAGAAGACAGTTATATTTGAAACCTGTACCTTAATTTCCCTTTAAAACATTATACACTGCTCAGCAGAATTCTTATCTGCATTTCTGAGACTTCAAATGCTGTGTCATCTTTTTGCAGAAGATCCATTCCACATAAAAATCGAAAACACACCAACAAAACCACTTACTGCAAATAGAAACAAATTCTAATAGAACATAGTCCTTTAAAACAGAATACAAAATACTATTGCAGTTGTTTAAAAAGTTTTTAGCTTTAACCTGACACCTCAGTTTTCATATTCCTTTTTAATTCGCCATAACCCTTCAAATCAGCATGACTTTCAGGCAGCCAGATTTTATTTCTGTGAACCTGCGAAACAAGAAAAGATGAAGCTTCAATATGAAAGCTTTGTGCAATACCTCTCCTTCAGCCCTCAACACACACACACAGAAAGTGATATTGCTCAGGTATGAATGCATGTGAGAAGAGGGAAAAATCAGCATCACATCCTCTGGATATGACAGAGAGAGAGGATTTTATCAGGTCTAGAGAGGTCAAAAGCTGTAAACAAAAGAAACCAAGAGAAAGAGTAAAATAAAAAATAGCTGCTCAGTACTGTTGGTTACATTAATTCTGCTTTTGTCTTTTCCTTCTCCCTTTCTCTCCCCACCACCCCGCCCCGTATATTTTCCCCCTCCTCTCCTGTAGAAAATGAAAGGGAAATGGTAAGAGCAATCTTTGGCACACTCATTCTGAGCCCCAGTTTCCCAGTCACCTTCATACCCCTGTAAAAGGAAGCAAGCAACACGCTGACACCAACGTCAACTCACTACATTGCTCTCCCACACAAGATGCCAAGAGCTAAAGCATATATTGCAGCCTAATAAGAATAATAATAATAAAAAGTTGGCTTCTCACACTGAAGTTAGCAACCTTGAATGGAAATGCATAATTAAATTATGCTAAGATGATTTTAATACTTTCTTCTACCTCAGAAAAAGATTTAATAAATGCCATTTATGAGATTTCAGTCATGAGTTTTGTGTACTTTAAAACAGACTTTAATTTTCAGTTAGTCAAGTGTGGGTTAAAAAAAAAGGAAAAGAAAATATCAGTAGCAAAAATCTATACTCACCTGAAGTTGTGGCTTGTGAGGTATCTGATTGCTGCTGGTTTGATGCGAGCAACTCCTCCCTGGCTATGGCTTCCTCTCCCCGTGATCACATAGAGATAAGGTTTACCACCAGTCTGCTGGTACTCTGTAACAGCAGGGATTGTAACGGTTTATTTTTTTTTCTCTCTAGAGACTTAGCAGTCAGCATAACTTTTTTATCCATACTTCTGAAAACTTTCACCACAGTAACTTACTTTTTTCCCCACACTGGCTCTGCATCTTTTAGGTATATATTGCCATTTTCCCACTCTTCTAGCAGTAAAAATAATATGACTTCAGAGTTTAGAGAAAAAAAAATCTAGATTTATTTCGATTGCTTGCAACAGCCACATTGTGATCATCACAAAATCATTTTAATTTCAGAGTAGTTTTACTAGTCTACTAGCACCTAATCTTCGAATTTACCTCCTATAAAGCATAAATGAATATGACAATTAAAATTGCAAATTTAAAGGGGGGGGTGTCACATTAATTTTGTAAGAGTCTTTCTATTGGTAGTTAAATTCTTTAACACTAAAATAATGTGAATAAAAATATAACAGACTTTACTGGATAAAGAAAGAAAGGAGGAAGAAAGAAAACACAAATTCACACAGTTTTTGACCTACCCTTATTTGAATACTAACTTTTGCAATGTTGTAACACATGAATCAATATATCAACATATGATATGAATTTTATTAGGGTATCTATCTATGAAAAAAGGAAATACTACTTTTCCTAAACAATATCATAACAGTGTAAATTAATTGTTTGAAAAAAGGAGAAAAATATAAATGAAACTGAATTCTCACAACAACTCAAGATTTGCCAGTTAAAGATTATGACTTCATGTGATATCACTCCTAACCTATCCTCTTTTCTTGCCCAGCTTTATTTGGATTTTGTATTAATTTATTGTTAATCCTGCCAGCACTATGGACTCATCAATTTATACATAACATAGACTGAAATAAATGTTTTCTAATGTTAGGAAAGTGGACGGAATAGTGACCCCTGCCACCATATCCAGGACTCCCAATGTAAGCACATCTTTGGGAAACTAAAACTCTAAAAAGCAATATAGTACAGCTAAAAGTATACACACATTACCTTAGGAGTAGCGCAAAAGATAATGCAATTTTATAAGTTCTAAGCTACATTGAGAAAAGGTATGTCTAAGACAAACCCATACAAAAGTTACTAAAAGACTTCTCAACCTGTGCACTTTAGCTGAAATCTTCAGCTGAAAAGCTGTGATTAGAATCTCAACATAATGATTTATCTTTAAAGATTAAAAAAGCAAAACAATTCTGACAAGGCAGTACAAAGGTGGCAAGAATGCCTGCATTACTGGTTTTGTTACAAGTGTCAGGAAGGAGGATCAATGAGGAAGGACAGATCCAAGTCTTCAATAAACAGAAAATAAAACAGAAAGAAAAGGAAGTGTTTTTTTCTTTTTTTTAAAAAAAGGGGGCAGAAAAAAGAGCACAGAGAGAAGAGGAAAAATCACTGTCATGCCAAACAAACAATTCATTGTAGGAGCTTTAAAAATGAAGCAACACAAAAAGCCAACTGAGTAACTTAGCAGAACATATTCTGACACTGCCACACATAGTGATTTCTTGGAAATTGGGAAAATGAGGTGATCAGGTAACTTGGGTGGTTTTTGGTTGGTTGGTTTTGTTACGTATTACTAGCTTATCCTACCTTCGCTTTTTTCCTGCAGCACTCTGGACAACTCATTCACAGCCTCATCCACATGGAGACCATGCAGATCCAGCACATTCATGGGCAGCAGGGAGGTGTTTGCTTTCTCAAAGATTTGCATGGCAGCTGCATGGTTGGCCTCTTTCATCTTCTGCTCGTGGAGACGACCCTTTATTCACAAGCATACCCACCATTACACTCCGAGACACAACCCAAGCTCCACACTGCTTGTTCAGATTCATACTGACAACACTGGCAGGGCACTTTTAGATTCACTGCTTCAGACTGTGAGCTACAATCACAACAGAACTTCGAAGAGGCTCAGTGAGACCCCCACACAAGGAGATGTTGTGGTTTTTGTTTTGTTTTTTTTCCTTAAGAAACTACTCAAAGCTGATACAGAGAAGAAATTATAAAGAAATCTTCACATGCTCTAGGTGACCCTGCGTGTGCAGGGGGGTTGGACTAGATAACCTCTAGAGGTCCCTTCCAACCTCAAGCATTCTATGATTCACAAACCATAAGATACTTACATAGACTAAAGCAAGTCCATGTTAATTTTCAATTTATTATTCTAAAAATGATATTTTACTTCTTGAAAATATTTAGCTAAAAACATAATGAAATCACGTCAAAAAAAACAATGAACAGCCCACATGTTATATTTGAGGTTGATTCTACTAACACATCACCTTGAAATCAGACTAGCCAAGGAGGGCAAGCACTTTTTTGATAGATGTCTGGTCTCTACTTTTTTTTTCTTATCTTTTATGATTGACGAGGTCAACACAGTCCCTACCAGAACTAGGTGTGAGGAGCAGTGCAGCTATCCACGTTGCACACTCTAGGCGCATGAACAGTACCAACTATTTCCTACAAACTTCGCAGCGATAGCATGCGAGAGACTGAAGCAACAGTTTGTCTCTTTGAAGAGCTGCAGCCAGAGGTTGAAAAGAAACGGAGCACGTAAGTCTAGGTACAGGGCTGGCAAAAACTCACGTAAGAGAACAGAAGTGCCAGTCTGTCTTACACTTTCTTAAAATGGGTAACCATCTGAAGCACCTTAGCATCAAACAAAAGACATCAGCCTCATAACTCTCACTCGCAAAGGATTACCAAGACGGACTGTAACCACCAAGTATAAAGATCAAAGTATTTTTCACAAATAAAGGTAATAGTATCCCTTTAATTATCTAAAAGAAAATATATTTTAATTTCCAGAGCATTATTGCCCTTAGGTCTAAAGACAAACAGCAAGTTAGGACTTGAAGTTAAATTTGTAACCAAGAATTATGCAGACCTGTGTTAAGGATCTCCCTAAACTTCAAGAATACCCAGACCAGGAATATAAAAAGTTGTTCATTAAAAAGATATTCAGTGTTTTACACATGTATAATAATAATAATCCAAATGTGTATTCTAAAATATTCTAAAAAAGTAGCATGAAAGCTTTTTAAAGATAATAAGCAAATTCAGAAGTGTATTTTTGTCCTGTCACGATGCAAATAATAGTTTTAAATTTTTTCAGTAAAAAGTCCCCTTTAATTCTACATATGCCATCAATTAGTGAAAAGTCTTTGTAGAGACCTGTAACAGACTTTTTGAATGCGGTTTAAATAAAGTATAAACAGAAACGTCTTGTGTGCGAAGGCACCAGAAGAAACCATGAACTGCAAGGGTTACAAGAATAGCTGGTATTCATCATCAAAAATATGATAAACAGCCATCAAACTACTACACACCCAGAAACGCCTACATCAGCACCAGACGACTGGTGCTCCACAGCCAGTGTGTAAATGGCTCGTCTGCAGAAGACTTGCACTCCAGGCATGGAAGGACAGTAAAAATGTAAAACGGGGTGCATTAGCAGCAGGTCAAGGGAGGGGATTCTGCCCCTCTCCTCAGCCCTGGTGAGGCCGCATCTGGAGTATTGTGTCCAGTTCTGGGCCCCACAGTACAAGAGGGATGTGGAGCTGCTGGAGAGAGTCCAGCGCAGGGCCACAAGGATGATCAGGGGCCTGGAACATCTGCCCTATGAGGAGAGGCTGAGGGAGCTGGGCCTGTTCAGCCTGGAGAAGAGAAGGCTGAGAGGGGATCTGAGCAGTGTCTATAAGTACCTCAAGGTATGGAGTGAGGAGGATGGTGCTGGCCTCTGTTCACTGGTGGCCACCGACAGAACTAGAGGAAATGGCCACAAACGGAAACACCAAAAGTTCCACAGGAACTGAAGGAAAAATTTCTTAACAGTGAGGGTGACAGAGCACTGGAACAGGCTGCCCAGAGAGGTTGTGGAGTCTCCTCCTCTGGAGATCTTCAAAACCCGCTTGGACGCAGTCCTGTGCCACGTGCTCTAGGTGACCCTGCGTGTGCAGGGGGGTTGGACTAGGTGACCTCTAGAGGTCCCTTCCAACCTTAAGCATTCTATGATTCTACAAAAAAGTGGCATGCCGCATTGTAACTTGCCAGCAGGAAAGCAGCCTGTGCCCAGGAGGTTACCCAAAACGAGGAAACGACACCAGCGGGCAGCAGCTTTGCCCAGGATTTATATAGGATGAAGAAGAAAGACACTGAGGCAATACATTCATGCTATCTAACTCCTGAAAAATAATAAAAAAGATTAATCTAAAAACACTGTACTGTCCTCAATCAAGAGGAACCTGATAGCTGATGTTTCCTTACTCCATGTTGTGTACAAGAGCACATGGGCACAAATCTTGGCACTTGCAAGTATGGGGGTATCTGCGTAAGTGGAAGTGAAATGTACACAAAAAATGAACATATGTAACTGAGCACTTAATTATCATATTTCCTGAGGTCTCCCACAGAATTTGATTACATCAGTAGCATTATTACTAATGAAGATGAGTTTAATTATAAGGAGATTTTCCAATATAACCATATGCAGGGAACAGTAATTGAGGAAATTTATCAGCTGCAGTAGGGAAAATTTTGTGCTGATGACTTCCAGAATGCTATTTAAGAATCTCTCTAGATTGAGAAGAAAAGAACAATATTTACATTTACCTGCTGTGCATAAAAAGCTGCCACAGGTTTCATACCCATGCGATAGGCCTCCCCAGCTTTTTTCAAATATTCCTGTCTCTTTTGCTGGTGAAGAAAAGCTTCTGCTCTGAAATCATCATACTGTGGATACTCAAAGTCATGGAATATCACTTCATTCAGAGTATCGTCCTCTTCCTTACTTTTTTTTGCCTGTAGGAATTAGGAACGTTGAAGCTAAGTATGCATTGCAGAGCGCTTTCACCGACAAGACTTTGGGCAAGTTTGTAATATACCGTTTTAAAAAAAATACCTTCTTCTCACGGTTCTTTGCAGCATTGCAGAAAGGAACAGTTTCATTTTGATGAGCACTTTCTTGAGCTATAACTGTTTTTACAGGATCTGCCTCCAGAACACAGTTCAGAAACTGTTCAGTCTGTTCTAAAGAATAGCTGTAAAGGATAAATAAAATCTGTAACTTGACAAATACGTTAATAGCTGCTACATTTGTTAGAATACACATTATGGACCTTTATACTGTTACAGAAATAGACGTCAATGCAAATAAAGCACTGGAACTGTATTTTCCATCTATTTATCACAAAAAAAAATCTTGAAGACTCATTGTGTTGCATTTAGTAGCATCAACACACATGCAGTCTTGATTGGCAGACATGTGACTGAGGGGCACTTGAATATTACAAGGACACACAAAAACTAAGTGAAGTAAATTGTGCCATACCTTAATCAAACAGATATCGATTTAGAAGCACAGCTTTTTGTGCTGGATATATTATTTCATCTTAAATCTCCTTTTGGCTAGGGTTAGATAGTAAAAACTAGGTTAAAGCTACCTCAGTTTTCTGAAATAGTGGTGCAAGCCAACCCTTGAACTTCAGTCAAGCTTTGTTATGACATTTAATGCAATAAAAGGAGGACACCAGTTACCATCAGATTTCTATTAAGTCCTCTTTTTTCTTTGTTCTTCATGCTGTTCAGTAAATAGACAAGAAGGCTGATCCAAAGTAAAGAGAGATTTTGGGAAAGGAAATTCTCTTCACTAGGAAGAGAAATCAGAAGGTGTAAAAACAAGAGGTAGTCGAAAATCTGAGCCGTCGAAATTGATTAATAAGTATGTTATATATTTCATGAGAAACAGTTTTGCTAACAACCTAGACAAGCAGAAAGCCTGACAAGTGAGCACGCAAACACACATGAGTAGAAAGAAAGGCAACCTGTGAAAGACGAAAGAAGGAAGAAAAGTTTCTTTAAAAAAAAGCTCCATTCTCAGGAACTTGGATTTAAGATAGCCACAGGCCCTGGTAATGGAAGGCAGAAGAGAGAAAGGGAAGAGATGAAGCAATGGCTCATCTTCCGGAGCTACTGTAGCAGTCTGGAGAATATCAGTGGCTAACATCAGGCTGTGGCAGCTTTCCTCTTGGATGGATGCCACTTGCGGTGAGCTCGCACACTGCCAGCAGTCACCACTAATCTCTCCCACTTCATTCTCACTGCAGTTCTGGAGCAAAGCAGCAGCTCCACCGACAGCCAGAGACATTCCTCTCCTGAGGAACAAACGTGTATACATACATACACATGCAGTCTTTAGCCCTTTAGCTTTTATAGACCAACTAGCTTTGCCTTTCATTAGGTCTACAAAGAAAGAGTTTGAAAAAAAAATCTTTTGCACTTTCTTAGCTCTTAAGGCAGTAATTGCGCACCATAGAGCACTGCTGAGTACCAGTTTTGCAAGAACTTTAAAGCTCTCTTACTTGTTATCCTTGAAGATATCCATTAAGAAATTTTGATTAATGGTTGGAAACATCTCAAAAAGCTGCTTTTCCTTTAGCTTGGCCGCACAGTCTTTTCTTGCCATGGAAGGAACACGTTTCTACCCAGAAGACAAAGGAGGTGGTATTACATGCTCACCATTAGAACAAAATAGATTAACAATGTATCTAACCTAATTACACTGTTATTTCCTACAATTTCAAAAAATATCTATTCAATAGGCATGTACCCCCAGCAGCAAAATGCAAGTATCAGCCACTATACTGACTTGACAAGAAGAAAAGACAACAAATATAATACACTGCTGCAGGACTTTGCAGGCACTTGAAGCCACCAAGCTGGAGATTCCTCAACTCAGAGGAGTAAAATGAGAAGGATTTTCAGAAGGTGTTTCAGTTTTGGGGTTCTGTTTTGAAGTTTCTTTTCAGGAAACAGTTTTGTTTTGGTGTAGGTTATTTGTAGCTATACTGTTATAAATACTCACATCAGTAAAGTCATGCTGAGTAGACAACCAAATTATAACCCAGAATAAATAGGACTCATCATTTCAATACTTAGATCAAACAACAACAAAAAAAGCTAAGGCAAAAAGTCACACTCCATAAATTCAAACTGAAAATAAATCTGCAGTCATTGTAGTTATCGGTCAGCCACACACATGCAGTTCAAAGAAAGAAACCACAAGTTATTCTTTTAAAGTACAAGCTAATGACATCCAACTTCATGTGTCAGTAGAAACAGAGCTGCTCTTTTTAGGGCAGCTACTTATCAGAAACAACTACCAAAAATTAAAACTTATGTTATGAACTGTCATCCAGTAGAGGGCAATAGTACACATGCACCAGCTAGAGAACGGAAACTACAGAAAACACAAATTAACAAAAAAATGTAGAAAAAAAATACTGTTCACTCAAAAATCAGTATAAAAAACATCTGACTCAGATGAAATTTTTTTTAATGTCTCATCTGTTAGGAACGTTGTGGGTTCTCCTTATAAAAAGTGTCAAAAGCAATATCTAAACAAACAGGACATGGAGCTATTTTATTTTGATGCAGCTTTCCCACCAAGTGTGGAAAAAAAATCACACTGATCGTATCTCTCTCTGTTTTAAAGCGAGCAATCGAAAAAAAGCACAGTTCAAACCAATACAAATGCTAACCTTTACAGTGAAATTCAGCATGAACTGTTTGTGAAAATCAAAACATTACATATATATATTTTTAAAACAGACATATTAACCACAAGCAAACTTTTGCATTACAGTAATCAATAATACCAGCTGGCACACACTTCTCTGGTGAATTCAGACTGTCGTCAGCAGCAGAAAATTAGTCTCCAGATAAGCCATATTCTGCTTCAGTAACAACAACGAAGTTACACCACATTAAAAAAATGGTAAATATACATACAAGATCCTGTTTCTCCTGCATGGCTATTTCTTCGGATATTATTTGTCTGAGAGAAACTTTCTGAATCTGAGCATTCCAGTGATCCATAAATGGGAAGACTTCTGACGTTGCTAATTTTTTAGTCTGAATGTCATTAGATGACTCTGAAACCCAGCTCGAATTTTTCTTCTGCATTTTACTGTCTGTGTTCTGTGATAACTGCACTTCTGAGTCATCTGTATCTGTCTGCTGACTCAGAGTGGGACCTTCAAAAGCAACAGAGGTGAGAAACAAAACAATTATTAACTTATTTATATAAGCAAAGCCAAAAAGCAATTACGTTTTTTTTTCCACCCTAATTTTTTTTTGTTAAAATGTCATCAGTAACACAGAAAGCAATACACTGTTTTTACCATATTCTTTTCTATTTTCCCAACACTAAATGATCTTCACCTATTTTCCAAAACAAGAGCAGAACTATAGATACCACCTGAATTTTCAAGCGCTAAGACTTACTGCTGTAAACTACCTTGCACAAACGTAAGGACAGGAGTTTGTTTGCTCACTTTTGAAAGACAGTTTCTTCAAACTCACATCTACCTTCTTCCCTTCGCAACCTAAGGGTATCTTAGATGTATCTTGCATTTTCCACAAGCTAATGGTATAAGCTCCACATGAGTGGACAGGTTGCACCTGTGCTGAGATCAAGTCATCCCCCAGGTCCATGCACGTGCAGCGGGCTGTGCTGCAAACAGACATTTCTTCCTCAGAGCTGAGGGACCAGGAACTATGATGACCAGAGAGTCTAATGCTTCCTGAACAAGGACTTGTATCTTCCTGCTGTAATCAGTTCCTCCAAGAAAAGCTGTGAACATCCTGACCTGCCTCCCTGACCTGCAGAAGTCTCACCCTGGTAGTAATCCTAACCTGGAGAGGTGCCTGCTCTGCCCACAGAGGCTTCCCCTTGGAGTATACAGTGATGTACTATGCACCTGGCTGCACCTCGCTGGGATCAGCAACAGGGCTTGCAATTAGCAGGTTTTCTTTTTCTATAGCTCTAAGAGAACAGTAAATGTAAGCAAGGCCAATAAAAAAACGTCACTTAATAAATGAATCTACCATTTTTCAACAGCTAGAATATTTACAGCCTTACTGAATTTTTAAAGAACTAAATATTTTTTACAGTACAGGAAAATACACAGCGTACCTTCTGCAAACAACTTGTGTGATTCATCTTCTCTCCTCTGACGCTTCTAAATAAAAATAGCAAAACCATGAATGTTAAAAAGCAATAAATATAGAATTTCCCAGGAAAATGCAGCAAATTTTTGCTTCTAGGTAATCCAGTACCAAAATGATGTTTCACAGGATTTCTCCAAGATTGGATATTTTAAAAGAACCATATTTAAGAAAAATATTTGAGAAGTAACATTTGAAAGGCACAGCTATATTTCCAAAAGCTTAGCATACTAGAGGAATGTGTCTCTAGAGAAAGTGTTAAGACTTTGTAACTGTAAGCAATATATATCTGGCTATCTATCTATATATATGTAGCCAAAAAGAGCCTGGCTGTGCTTTGTAAGATTGTGGTAGAACATACACTGACATGAAACTGTGAGGGTAGGAAATTCTCAATCATTACACATGGGGACATTTTCCATACAAAATCATTCATATTCAGAATTCCTCTTTCAAGTCCAAAGGCCAGTAATGATTAGACAAGATTTTCTGTCAATCTTCTTTTGAAACTGTATATGATGATGCCCCCTCTCATTTGTTAGGATGTACAGCATGCAATCTCTTCATCTCTGAAACTTTTTTTCAACAGCTCTGATGATTATTCCCTATGGCATGTTGATAAACTACACATTTCACAAATTACAACCATATTCTATTATAGTTCTCACAAAGATACTTACATCTTACAAACACATTAATACCAACAAAAAAGGAGACAATTGGTCTGCCAAAGCATAAGTGTAATGTTTTATAACTAAGAAAGTTACTAACCAGAATCGATTCTTTCCATTTCTCATGAATCACTTTTGCCAAATTCAGATCAATATGAACCACACAGTCCTCAACGGTTAGTGATCCTTATGGAAAGGAGAAAATATATTCATTAAGGCATTCTGCACAGAGTTATTCAAGCAACTAAAGTACAGCATCAATATTAGTTCCAAATTTCTCCTATTTAACTGCAATCCATGTGCAACAGTTTTTACATAACACAACGTGTTAGCCAATATCCAATAGTAACCAAATCTCTCCTTTTAACATGACTGAAAACCAAACTCCAAGTATCCCTTCCTGTTCCAAAAGAAACAGCAGCAATCATCATGGTGTTGTGATATATATTCCTCCTGACATACCTTGCTGATAGCTACATTTCTCAAAGATTCAAAAAGAAAATGGGAAAAATCATATATATTATAAAAAATAATGTAGATCTAAAACATCAAAACACCTTTCTGCTAACAAAAAGCAAATTTATTCCTGGAGGGGTAGGGATGCAAGGCAGAAAGGCTAGCAGCCAGGTCCACCCATCATGTATGGAAGGCTTCACATCAAGAGAGAACTAGCATGAAAACTAGTTCTCTAGAAATAGTATGAGAAAACTAGTATGTGCTACTGCATTTTCTCTTCTCCCTTCTTCTATTAGTTTTTACTTCTCATTTCGTATTTTCATACATGTTCAAGCTGATTATGGTTTTCTTCACCATTCTCCCCCAGCAGAATGGTGTGGTGTTTTTGTTTTGTTTTCACCCTTTGCTACAGCCTTACTTAATTCTCTATCTCAACAAGTCTTTGACTTCTCTGACCCCAATTTAGCCAATGCTTCCCCCCCCCAAACAGTCAACATTTATACCAGCCTCATCATTTCAGGAGCCTGCAGATGAAAATAAGCTCAAAGGCCTACTGCTCAAAAGAAAAGTAAGCTAATATGTTTTCTCATGCTTTTAAAGGATGCGCATGGATGAAGAGATACAGGCAGAAGGTTGATATCTTCACTACTGCATCTACATTTTACACCAAGTTCAGTTTCATTTTTAAATTAACAAAAGCAAACAACAGCATCCCAAGGAATTGCACAATTCTATTTCCCAAAACCAATCATGAAAGAAGGAAAAACAGAAAGAAGAAAAGGTTTTTCTTAGCTAAACTTTTCACAAAAATAAGGATTATCATTTTTTCCATACCTGCATCAATGCCAATGGGCCCAAATATCTCTTTCAATTGGAGTGCCAGTTCCGGAGGCAATGTTAGCTCTAGACAGTCTATATTGAAGGCCACAGATGGGACTGGTGAAGGGGTTTCTATCTTGGCATCCCAAATTGGAGTTTCACTTTTTTCTTTACCAAATACCTCCCTGGATCTCTCTCGGGTTTCTTTATCAGATTCCAGTTCTTTATCATCTGTAGGATCCTTCCAAGATGTTTGATCCATTTTCAGTAACAAAGTAGCTGTATTATGTCCTTCGATATTCTCTGCACCACTTTCTGAAGGGTTACTGTAATTTTCATTATTTAATTTGATTTCTAAATTGGTAGGAGTTGTATGAAGACCATGAGGTGAAGTCACAGGTAGACATAAACCTACATCAAGCTGAGAAGCTGACTGCTTATTTTGTGTTTCCTCAGCAGTACTCATAGGCTGCCTATCTATTTTCTGCATTTCTGACATAGACTGTTCAGTGATATCTGCTGCTGAGGCAACGGCATCAATTCCAGGAGCTGCATCACTGGGATTTTTGTGTTCCGCTGAATCATTCATAGAGACAGTAGTTAATGAGTCAGATATATCAGCATCTGTCACAATTACTGTGGTGGTACTACCTTCTGCAATGCTGATCAATGAGTTCTTGTTCTCTGAACCCTCAAAAGTAGCTTCTTTCACAAATATTTGCTG